AACTAACACTAGACCTACAACTAGAACCATTCGGGTTTAGCCTTGCGTCTCTTAAGACGGCTAAATCCGAATGCTTCTAGTTCTAGATCTAGTGTTAGTTCTAGTTTTAGGGCAATCAAAATATACAACAATCTAGACCTGAACAACAACTAAAACTAGAACTAACACTAGACACAGAACTAGAAACAATCGGTTCTAGGTCTAGTGTTAGTCTAGATTTATTTGTTATTTAACACTAAATTATTGTATATTTTTTTGCATTTTATGTTGGATAAAGTAAGTAGGTACACCCTGGTTTCTATGGAAATATATTTTTATGAAAATATTGCATCTTAAGTGAATCTCACTGTATAATTATAAAACAATTAATTACAGTGAATTTAATTTCTATACATTTATAATTTAAACCAACACACATAATTTCTAGTGTGACATTTTAGATATTAAACTCAATCTGATTTAAAGCCAAATTGGAGTTAGTGTCTCGCAGATATTGATATTAATCCACAACGTACGTTGTAATGGATTTATATTATTAGTTTCAGTTGTGAATTATGCAGATAAGGTTAAGTCAGATGTCACCCTCGGTATTATTCCATTGTAGTTTCAGTCCAGTTATACGTTTAAGATATAAATAAGTTTGGTGGATGTTGTTTTGAGTTTCGTATTAATACTAACAGCTGGTAACTCAACATCGGGTGGTGTGTTTGGTTTTGACTGAAACCGGGTGGACTGAAACTATGTGAAAGATATCAAATATTCAGAAACCGTAAATATTCTATACACATAGCATGTGTAGTGTGGAGTGTAGCGTACTATGTAACTTATAGGGAAAGTTTAGTAGATGCTCTCTATAACTTGACCGGTATCTCTTCTATTAATAAAATTAAGGACAATGGTGGGAGCGGCAAAAAGAAGTATAAGGGAAAGTAAGACCTTTCAAGAAGATTAAAGGAAACTTTCGAGAAAGAACGACGCAGTTTTCATTTGTTTCTTTTCTTACTTCGTCTTTTACGGTCGCGGGTGTGTGCGATGAAAAACGAGCGAAGAAGAAGGAGGACTTTCCGAGTTTTGAGGATTTCGCAAAAGGAGGGTGTGCTTTTTTTCAGCTATAGGGGGGAGGCGTGCCGATGGGTTTTCAATTTATTTGCCACGTATTGTTCGGTGGAAAGCTTCGTCTTCGGCGAGTTGTGGCGACGTAGACGACGACGTCCTCCGGAGTTAAAGTTAGCGCGTGCGGAAAACTTCAACGAGTTGTGCCGTTAAGCAGTTTTCAATTCTACAACGCAACCGGCCGTCGTCGTTTGGCCGTCAAGTAGTGACCGAACTTGAATACTAAGAATACTCGTAAATATTGACCTCGAGTTGTGCGAAGTTTTATGAAACTTTTTAAGGATTCATACAAAGGATATTATGTGGAATGTAAAAATTTAATCCACTTTGTATTGACGAATACATCCATCAGGATCTGTTCTGTATTCGGTGGGTTGCCCGAAATAGAGATTTTCCCCATTGAATTTATGGGGGACTTTCGTCGGCTTAATGTCGTGCCGAAAAAAATGCTGCGGCGGACTTTCCACGTTTTTGCATAGTTTTCAATGAAATCGCAGTCGTATTTCATGCGATCGACCAAAATCCCCACGTTGCCCGATTTAGGGAACAAAAGGCGGATTCGTTCCTTAAAACTACAACCGCACGTACCCGCGTGGACAAATCCCAATTTCCGTGATTTTTTTTTTTTATTATTCCCACTTTTTGTTTATCATCATCTGTGGGGACGTTTTTTCGGGAAAGTTTTGTTTGTCGGCTCGGAGCCATGCGGAATAAAAAAAACACGAAACACAAAATTTTAGAGTGAACGGTGGTTGAATTAATAAAAAAAAAGTGTGGCTCCCGTAAAAACGGGAAAGCTTTTACCTCGCCGAATAAAAATATGCGCACGAATCTCTCTTTCTCTCCTCTTGTTTGGCTGGTCGTTAAAATTAATTACGCGCTTTGTATCGAACGGGCGGGGAAACCCCAAAAAAAAAAGAAGGTTTTGCTTAACCCTTTTCGAGACGACACTCTATATCTGGCGTTTTAGGGTTTCGTTAACATACGATAACTCGTTAATTAGAACTGGATGTTTGTGTCCCCTACGAAATTTGAGAGAGTTGTATTTCCGTGTGGGGGTGGATTAAAGCACTGCTTTTCAATTAGGTTTTCTATTTCATGTATTTATTTCATATTTTATAGCCGAGGTTTGATGTCAATGTTCTTAAGGATGGTAGAATCTAAACGGACTCAGTCAGCAGTTTCTAGTTCTAAGTTTTGTGTTAGTTCTAGTTTCAATTTGTTATTCAGTGCTACTTTGTTGTATATTTTTATTCAAGTAAAAGAAGAAGTAACCTAGAACCAGAAGAATTCGGATTTAGCCGTCTTAAGAGACGCATGGCTAAACCCGAATGGTTCTAGGTCTAGTGTTAGTTCTAGTGCTCGTGTTAGCCCTAGTTTTAGTTGTTGTTCAGCGTTAGAGTGTCCTATGTATTTATTGAAGTAAAACTAGAACTAACACAAGACCTAGAACTAGAATCATTCGGGTTTAGCAGTCTTGAGAGACGTGCGGCTAAACCCAAATGATTCTAGTTCTAGGTATTGTGTTAGTAACAGTGCTAGTGTAAAACTAGAACTAACACTATAACTAGAACTAGAATTATTCGGGAATAGCCGTCTTGGGAGACGTGCTGCTAAATGCGAATGTTTCTAGTTCTAGGTCTAATGTTAATTCTGGTGACAGTGCAAGTGTAAAACTAGAACTAACACTATACCTAGAACTAGAATCATTCGGGTTTAGCCGTCTTTAGAGACGTGCGGCTAAACCCGAATGGTTCTAGTTCTAGGTATAGTGTTAGTAACAGTGCTAGTGTAAAACTAGAACTAACACTATACCTAGAACTAGAATTATTCGGGAATAGCCGTCTTCGGAGACGTGCTGCTAAATCCGAATAGTTCTAGTTCTAGGTATAGTGTTAGTTCTACATAGTAACAGTGCTAATGTAAAACTAAAACTAACACAAGACCCAGAACTAGAATCATTCGGGTTTAACCGTCTTTAAAGACGTGCGGCTAAACCCGAATGGTTCTAGTTCTAGGTATAGTGTTAGTAACAGTGCTAGTGTAAAACTAGAACTAACACAAAACCTAGAACTAGAATCATTCGAATTTAGCCGTCTTGGGAGACGTGCGGCCAAATCCGAATGTTTCTAGGTCTAATGTTAGTTCTAGTGACAGTGCAAGTGTAAAACTAGAACTAACACTATACCTAGAACTAGAATCATTCGGGTTTAGCCGTCTTGAGAGACGTGCGGCTAAATCCGAATGTTTCTAGTTCTAGGTCTAATGTTAATTCTAGTGACAGTGCAAGTGGAAAAAGTAGAATTAACACTATACCTAAAACTAGAATAATTCAGGTTTAGCCGTCTTTAGAGACGTGCGGCTAAACCCGAATGATTCTAGTTCTAAGTATAGTGTTAGTTCCATATAGCAACAGTGCTAGTGTAAAACTAGAACTAACACGAAACCTAGAACTAGAATCATTCGGATTTAACCATCTTGGGAGACGTGCGACTAAATCCGAATGTTTCTAGTTCTCGGTCTAGTGAAGATATAAGTGTATACAAGGAAGAGTTAGTGACAGAAATTGGCTAAAATTCCAAGAAAACCGTTTTTACAGAGAAATTGTAAATGACAAACAATTGTCTTTCCGAAATTGCAACTATCGATGATAAGGAATACGATGCAAAGCAAACTAAATTAAACCGAAATGGTGGTTAACTAGAAATCGACTAAAATTAGAAGAAGCTTTTCCAGATAAATAGAAAGTGCCCGAAATAGTTCATCTTCTGTATTTGTATCTATAAATGATGAGAAATACTATATAATTTAAATTAAATTAACCAGAAATTCTGTTCAATTCGAAACTAACAAGAATTAAAGGAAAACTGGTTTCTAAGAAAATAGGAAATGACAAATGAATTTTTGGTCCATATTTGCAGTATTAAGATCATAAAGAATACAATGCAAGACAAACTAAATTGATCAGAAATTCTACTCACCCTGAAATTTGCAAAAATTGAACAAAAATCTGTTTTTAGTTTGTATTTCACTAAAAACAGGACAAAAATTATTTTTTCTTCGTTCGATAGTATAAATGATGAAGACTATCATGGAGTTTTAACTAAGTTGATTAGAAATTCTGCTCAACCTCAAAATTTGCAATAATTTCCAAAAGAAACGATTTCCCAGAAAAATAAAAGTTGACAGAAATCATTTTATTTCATTATTTCCTGGTCTAAATAATAAAGAACAAGAAGCACTTCAAATAAAATCGGTCTAAATATCCACTTAACTCGAATTTGTAAACATGCAAGTAGAATAAATTTTCCAAAAAGAGGAAAATAGAATCCGACGCAAATAAAGCAAACTCCTAAATCTAAGGCTTTTCAAATATGTCGCAAGATTTTAAACTATACATTATTGAAGGAAAATTTTATTAATATTATCTTATATTCATAATATTAGCAATTCATAAATCAAAATATTCCTGAGTAACAAAGTCTTTATTATAGACTATTACATGTTAATGTCTTATATTACCAAAATGGCTTACAAATATACACTTATTCAACACTTGTGTTAAGTATTACTTCCACCATGTAATTTTCTTTGTAATTTATAGGTAATACACGAAAACGTTAATATGCATGAAGGTTATAACAGTGTTAATTTCGAAACGAAGTATCATGAAAATATTATTATTTTGTCCCGAAACGACTCTACATAAATATTTACATATAATTTCACAAAATTAACTCAACTCTGTGCAGTCATCTAAAATTAACAAGTTTCTCCTGGTCTTCGTCCTCTATTAAGTTACATGAAAGCTTTTGTAGAGTTTCGGCCGCGTGAAACGAGCCGGAATTGCATTATACACTTTCTGAAATTTTAATTCATTGTTGCAGGAAACGAGACAATCATACGAATAGATGGCACCAGTGCACAAGTTTCTGCTGCTCCTGTTGCGGATGGCCGGTTGCGTCCTAGTGGCGCACGGTTACAAGGAGCAGAAGTTTGCGATGGAACCCCAGGATCAAACCGCTGTAGTAGGATCGAGGGTAACACTTCCTTGCCGAGTAATTAATAAAAGTGGTCATTTGCAATGGACGAAAGACGATTTCGGACTCGGGACGCATAGAAATTTGAGCGGATTCGAAAGATACGCTATGATTGGGAGCGATGAAGAAGGTAAGAATATGAGTTGAGTTGGCAAAGATAAGACTGTACATAGAAAGGGTGCTATCTGCATAGCTAAGTGCCACCAGTAACTTTTACGGTTAAATAGTTGGATGTCGAGGCTCTCAAAGTTCTCTTACTGCGGGGCCAGTTCAACTTAAAAGCGTAAATATTCAAGGAAAATGGAGCAAAACCGGCTCAATCCAGGAACTTTGTCGGTCGCATAAATTTAAGTAAAGGGCATAATTGAAATTCTCGACTCGGTCGAAACTTTCCAGTATTGCTTAATTGGAGATCGGGTTTCGTCATTACGTCTGTCATTATAGCCCCTTCCGTTTAAAGGTCCAGCAAAAATAGTCTTTTTTTCGAAGCAATTGTTTTCCTCAAAGGCACTCTTATTAATTGTCTTCCGTTCTCAAGAAGTAATTAGGCGGGCGCGTTCATAATTTGAAAGGTAAACTCTTCGAACACGAAGTTTGTACTTTACACGGGAGCTGCGCCCGCCCCGCAGCCAATTTCATAAAACACACAAAATCGTGACACTTTTAGGATCGCTCCTGTGTTACTCCTTCAACCACCCCAAAACTTCAAACGTTCCGACATCAAAGGGTAACTGGGAAATTTTCGGCATGGCACTTTGCTTCCACACGCGCCAACCTTCTAATATTAAAAATATATGTATACAAGAAAGTTACAATTTATATAATTTTATAATTATTTTATTTGTGTTAAAACTAAAAAAATTTAATCACATAAATGTATCAGCCCACAAAACGCGATTTACATTTAAAGCTACTCATTTCTCCGCATCGACGTGAGTATGTAATCACTGGTTGACATGAACGAGCAAGTCGTTCGAATAAAAATCGAAAAAGGGCCTTTTGAGACCCTTTGACTTAATAAGGAGCTATTACCGGTCGTCAAAACCAATGTGAAAAATGTACGCAACGGCGATTTCCTCAACTTGTAACAAACAAGACGGTCGATCGTATAAGGAGCGTTTCACACGAAATTGGTTTTTATATCCCTTTCCCCACGTTTGGTTAAAAAACCATAAATTGGCGAAATATCCCACACCCTTTGTGGGATTTTTTTCCCCGCATGAAATTTCTCGGCCATCAACTTCCTCGAATGTGGTAAGCCTAGCGCGAAATTTACGCCCGCCCATTTTTCTCGGAGTAAATAGGTCGGTACCAAAACGCAAAGAACGTAAATACGGCAAATTCTCCCCTTTATTGGTCATAAAAAATTATTATAAGTGCAATGATTTCCCTTGCGATGCCATTTTCGTGGATTTAACGTTTCTCATTCACCTTGTATCTTCTCTTTCAGCGGATCCATTTAATAAACCAACTGTAATGAGAGTTATTATTTACTTTTATTACTCCTACTTTCTTTCTTTATAGTTTAATAAGATTTTTTTTAGTCTTTAACTCATTTAGAGGAGGAGGGTTGATCCATATCTACCAGTTTTTATATAATGTAAATTAAAATAAAAATCTAATACTTTTTCTGGTCATTATCAGTTTAACGTCTTACGAGTTTCGACTTACGCCATCATCAGAAACTTTATGATAGTTTATTATAAAATTATAACATCATTCCCTCCTTTAACGTGTTTATTTCTAAACCATCATAATTACAACAACGTTTCGGGAAATGTTACCATCATTTCACAAAAATTTCATTTCATGTTCACAAAAATACCTGACTTGTAAGCGTGATAAGATGTATCGAAATATATATAAGAAACGATTAATGATAAAAATTGGTGAATAGTCGTAGAATAAGAGGATTATTGAACCTGATGATGGGAGCATTTCCCGAAACGTTTTAGGCGTTGGACACTGCAGATAATAATCAAGTTCAACCCCAATAAAACTTTTTTTCGTTGAATACAACTTTATTTAAATCAGGTTTGTCTTTAGCAACCTCATTGTAACAATCCCAATACGATATATTATATAAAATCTCTTGTTGTAGTTTCGTCTAGTTTCCTTCTCTTCGTTTGTAATTCATCATCACATTCATTACTAATAAAAGTGTCGCTGTTATCACTTTCGATTATTAATTAAAGTATCCTCTTCTCAATGCAAAAAGCCGTTTTAAAAAATCACTTTCAGTTCTTGAGAAATAAATTTTTGAAATGATCGACAATTTTTTCGAATTTTGCAATTTTAGCCGATTAAGTTTTAAAAATTCATATAAAATCGATTTCTTGGAATATGAGTATGAAACTTTCCCAAAGTGTTAATAAAAGTGTCCTCTTTCCAATGAACTAACGCGTTTTGAAAAATAACTTTTAGTTTTTGAAAAAACAAGATTTGAAGTTTTGATAAAATTTTCGATGTTACAATTTTCATCGATAATATTCAAAATTCGCTATAAAATTAATTTCTTGAAGGATCCTTGTGGAAATATCACCAATTATTAATTAAAGTATCCTCTTTTTAATGCAAAAAGC